CAAGGGCATTTTTCAAAGAAATAGAAGATATAATCCTAAAATTTATATGGAACCATAAAAGACCCCGAATAGCCATGGCAATCCTGAGAAATAAGAACAAAGTCAGTGGCATCACACTACCCGACATTAAATCATGCTACAAGGCTACAGTAATCAAAACAGTACGACACTGGCATAAAAACAGACACATAGATCAATGGAACAGAATAGAGAGCTCAGAAATAAATCCATTCATATACGGTCACTTAGTCTATGACAATGGAAGCAAGAATTTAATTGGGGTAAAGATAGTCTATTTAATAAATGGTGATGGGAAAATTGGACTGACACATGCAAAATAATGAAACTGATCACCTTCTTATGCCATATATGAGAACAAATTCAAAATGAATGAAAGACTGAAATGTAAGACCTGAAACCATAAAACTCCTAGAAGAAAATACAGAAAATAAATTTGCAAACATTACCCTGAGCAATATTTTTACCGATATATCCCCTCAGGCAAGGGAAATTAAAGAAAAAATAAACATTTGGGATTACATCAAATTTAAAAGTTTTTTCACAGCAAAGGAAACCATCAATAAAACAAAAAGGAAGCCTACTGAATGGGAGAAGATATTTGTCAATGCTATATCTGATAAGGGTTTAATATGCAAAATTTATAAAACACTCATTCAACTCAACACCAAAAAAACAAACAACCCAATTACAAAATGGGCATAGGATATGAAGAGACATTTCTCTAAAGAGGATATACAGATGGCCTACAGGCATATGAAAAAATGCTCAACTTCACTAATCATTAGAGAAATGCAAATAAAAACCACAATGAGATGGCACCTCACTCCGGTCAGAATGGCTATCATCAATAAATCAACAAACAACAAGCGCTGGCGAGGTTGTGGAGAAAAGGGAACCCTGGTGCACTGTTGGTGGGACTGCAGATGGATTCAGCCACTATGGAAATCAGTATGGAGGTATCTCAAAAAACTGAAAATGGAACTACCATATGACCCAGCAATTCCACTCTTAGGTATCTATCCAGGCTAATCCAAGATGCTAATTCAAAAACATATATGCACCCCTATGTTTATTGGAGCACTATTTACCATAACTAAGACTTGGAAACAACCAAAATGCCCATTGGTAGACAACTGGATTAAGAAACTGTGGCACATTTATACAATGGAGTATTACTCCGCTATAAAGAAGAATGAAATCTTACCATTTACAACGATATGGTTGGATCTAGAGAACATTATGCTAAGTGAAATAAGTCAGTTGGAGAAAGACAAATACCATATGATCTCACTTATATGTGGAATCTAAAGAACTGAATAAATGAGCAAAGTAAACAGAAATAGTCTCAGAGATATAGAGGAAAAGCTGATGGTTGCTAGATGGGAGGGGGGTGGGGATGAGAGAGAAGGGGAAGGGATTAGACAATATAAATTGCCACAGGGATATGAAAGACAGTTTGGGGAATATAATCAATAATGTTGTAAATATTTTGTAGGGTGTCAGATGGACACATGTCTTCCTAGGGGCACCACTTCATGGATGATGTAGAGGCTTAACCACTGCCCTGTACACCTGAAGCTGACGTTGAATAATATTGTATGTCAACTACAATTTAATATATATAAATAACCATGGGATGCGGAGTATAGTGTGGGCAGTGAAGTCGTAATACATATGTATGATATCGAGGGTGGGAAGTGGTGGATTGGGTGAGGGAGGTTGTCACTTTGTGAGAGGTGAAAAGTATAACTATTGCATTGTTTTGTACACCTGAAACTAATAAAACAAATTTCAAAAAGAAAGAAAGAAAAAAAGAAAACCCTGGGAAACTACTAAGACAAAAATTACTTTCCAGATTCCAGAAATGGAAGAAGCTTGGAAACTCAAGCAGATATCTATAGTCGATTTTTGACTATGTTACTATCCAACTCTGAGACAGGGCAGGAGGCGTTATACAACCTGTCTGCCTAGTCAGTGGGGGAAAGATGAACACTTTGCCAGGGAGGAGGGAGGGATGAGTAGACAGAATGGAGGCGATTTTTAAGACAGTAAAACTGCTTTGTATAATACCGCAATGATGATACATGCCATATATTTGTCCAAACACATAGAATGTACAACACCAAGAGTGAACCCTAATGTAAAGATGGACTTCAGATGATAATAATGTGTCAGTATAGGCTCATCAATTGTAAGAAATGTACCACTCTGGTAGAGGATGTTGATAATGGGGGAAGCTATGCATGTGTAGAGGCAGGAGGTATATGGGAAATCTTTGTACCTTCCTCTCAGTTTGCTGTGAACCTAATACTGCTCTAAAAAATGGTCTATACCTTTAGCTGCAGCAGCCATTAAGGAGCAGCAGCCCTGGCTCTGTGCTATCCCATGGCCATGGGCCTCAACAACGGCCACAGGCGACCAAGAACATGAGCAAGCTGACCAAGCACACCAAGTTTATGCAGGACATGATCTGCGAGGTATGTGGCTTTACTTCCCAGGACTGGCACACCACGGAACAGCTCAAGGTCTCTAAGGACAAGGGGGCCCTGAAGTTCATCAAGAAAAGGGTAGGGACACACATCTGTGCCAAGAGGAAGAGAGAGGAGCGGAGCAATGGCCTTGAGGAAGGCAGCAGCCAAGAAGGACTGAGCCACATACCCTCTGTGTGTAATAAAACCTTTACACATTAAAAAAAAGTCTATAAAAATTATATAAAAATAAGAAGAGGGAGTACTTCTTTAATTTGATTTCTGAATCATTTAAAACTATACATAAATATCATTCTCAATGATGAGATATTAACCCCCCCCCTTTCCTGGATACCAGAAATGAGACAATGCCCACTATCACCACTTCTATTCAATACGATCCCAGAAATCCAACTAGTGTGATAATGCATAAAGAGAAATTAAAGGCATGACAATTGGAAAATAAGAAATAAAACAAATATTAAAGGAGATTGCAGAATTCTGTACACAGAAATTATAAATGAATCCACAAAAAATTTATTAGCAATTATAAGTGCATTTGAAAAGGTTGCTAGATATAAGGTCATCAAAATAATAAAATCAATTATATTTCCATATACCAAAAAGTAAAATGGCATTTAAAAAATTATAAAATATATAATAACATCAAAAATATAATTTATCTAGAACAAAACAAATACATGTTCAAGCTCCTGCATGGGAAACAAAACAATATTGAAAAATTAAAAATACCCAAATAAATTGGGAGCCTATACTATATCGTTTAAATGAAATATTTAATGTGTCATGATATCAAGTCTTTCTAAATTGGTATAATATTACCATGATAAAATTCCCAGCAGAGGGTTTTGTTAAGTTTATAAACTGATACTAACAGTCCTTTGGAAATGTGTTTCCCCATGTAGAAGACGCACCGTTTTTCGAAAATTTTACGGTCTAAAAACTGGCTGCATCTTATACAGTGGTTGTAGATTTTTTTAACTTGCATTTCCTGCTTTTTCACGCTTGTTGTCTTTTGCTCATTAATTTACACTTGTTACCGATACATTAGGTTATGTTTTGCCACGTTCTGTCCAGAAATAGCTCAGAAAAGATTTCCGTACAGTGCTGAATTCAAGTTAAAAGTGATCCAGTTTGCAAAAGTGAATGGAAATCGTGCTGCTGAACATAAGTTTGGTCCTCCTCCAATTGAGAAAACAATCCGAGGCTGGCTATGGTTAGGAGTTTTGACAGTGATGAGGAGTTGTATGAATTTTATGATGAATAAAACTTGATTTCAATAACTTTAGGTAATACATTTTTTACACATTTCAGGCCCCCAAATTAAGGTGTGTCTTATACATGGGAGTGTCTTATACATGGGGAAATACTGTAAGTAGCTATGATTACCCAAACAATAGGAAAGAAGCAGAACAAATTTATAAAATCTACACTGCCAGATAGCAAAACCTGTTATAAAGCTTTATAGACTAAATTGGAAACAACAGAGTCCACCAAGCTGCCACACATATGAATTTTGTACTTCTCTCATCTTATGTTCGTAAAAAACTGAACCCATATTGTGAAAATGGAAACTTCAAGACCACTGAGGTCAGTAGAAGAGAAAGACATCTTACCTTGGGGATGAGGTAATTTCTGAATTTAATATCACGGGTCACTGAATGGGGTAAGTCACTGGGGATAAGGTCTATGTATCTCTGGGCCTCATGCACCACGGCATCCGTGTAGGGCATGTGGCTCCTGTCCTGCATGCAGGGGCTCCGGTGTCTGCCAATCACACGGTCAATCTCTTCCTGGACTTTAGCTGATAAGACACAAGTAAGACTGATGAAAAAAACCCAAAATGCATACCACATTTACATACAAATTCAAGGATACATGAAACAATATGAAGGTGTCCCAATGTCATTATAAATGTCAGTTATATGCCCAGAAATATACTAGACATAGAGAGAATTATTATAATATAGATACAATGATTCTTATACAAGCTAGGCTTTGGGATACATCTGTGTGCATCTATGTATTAGCATACAAGATAATACAAATAGAAATTATGAAATGCTTCAAAATATAAATAGTAAATTATTAACTCAGACTGTACTCAGTTCTGGTCAAGATGGCAGAATAGGTAAACACTATGCTTGCCTCCTCCCATGATAACCTCAAATTATAACTAAACTATAGAACCATCATTGAGAATTGCCTCAAGTCTAGCTGAAGAGAAGTCCCATAACTAAGAACATACAGAAGAAGCCACATCTAGAGGGGTAGGAGGGACAGAGATGGGGAATGGGCTGAACCCACACCCGCGTGTGGAGGTTAAAAACTGGGCATGATATCTCAGCTGTGGAGGTCCCTGCTGACGAGTGAGAAGTCCCAACTCTACACCGGGCCCCCATTCCAGGGTTCCAGTGCTGGGAAGAGAAGTCCCCACAACTTTTGGCTGTGAAAACCAGTGGAGATTGCAGCTGAGTGAGGTAGCTGACTTCTGGAGTCCCAGGTATTCCTCTTAAAAAGCCCACACATGGATTTACTCACTGATGGACTCACCTGTTCTGAGCTCCAGCTCTGGGCCAGCAGCTTAAAAGGTACTAGGGATATATGAGAAGGAACTGAATTGTCTAGCTTCAGAGTGAAGGCTGAAGGGGCAACTTTCTCCCAGACAGAAGTGCTAGCAGAAGCCATTGTTCCTTTGTTGAGCCCTCCCACTGCCCAATGTGTAGATGCAGGCGGCCACCACATCTGAGTCTCCATCAACCTGGCTAACACTGTTTGCCCCACCCTGGTGATTTCCTGAGACTCTGCTCCAACCAACTTGAATGCCCACTCAAGTTGCTTCCAGTGGCTTTTCCATACAAGTGGCCTGTCATGATTCATGCTGTGGTCTACCCTAAAATCTCTCAAAGGTTCACAAACCCCAAAACAGTAGTATCTGGTCTCAGTGTGCCCTGTACCTCTTGCTGTGTAGCCCCAAGCCTCACACTAGCGGCAGCTGGCGTCATTTAAAGGTTTGGCCTCTCATAGGCACTTCTAAACCTAGTATGGGTGGTGGCTATCTGCAGATTGCTTTGAGGCTCATGCCAGGTGGCCCCTGGTAGGGCACAGGCTGCTGCTGAATGAGGCCTGTGGCAGGCCTCACAAGACACCTACTACATGAGGCCACTCTACTAAGACTGAGAGACATAGCAACCCTACCTAATACATAGAAACAAACACAGGGAAGCACCAAAAAGGAGAGAAAAAAAAAACATATCCCAAATGAAAGAACAGAATAAAACTCCAGAAAAGGAGCTAAACAAAATAGAGACAAGCCATCTATCAGACGCAGAGGTCAAAACACTGGTTATGGGCCGGACGAGTGGCGCGATGGTTAAGAACTGGCTTGGGACGCCAGAGGCCCTAGTTCGGATCCCACATATGAGGGCCAGTGACACTGCCCTCCACAGCTAAGATGATGAACAACAGCTCAACCTGGAGCTGGGCTGTCCTAAGTCGCCGGCAACGGCGTAGGTTACAGCCCCTGTGGCAGTGGGTTGCCATGGTTACCGTATTTAGCCAGCAGCCATCGTTAGTGGCCAGCAGCCGCAGTAAGTGGCTGTCCAGAAGCCGGCGACTGATCTGCCTCGCCCGCGAAGAGCGCAATATTGGTGCCGGCATGGGCCAGTGAAACGACATCTTCCACAACTAGACTGAAGAACAAAAGGACAGCAACTTGTCTGTTCCCCTTCCTCCAATTCCCCAGCACTGTTCCCATCCCCCAATTCCACAATTAAAAAATAAACAAAACCGAAAAAAACACACTGGTTCTAATATGCTCAGTGATCTCAGGGAGAATTTCAACAAAGAGATAGTAAACAAAAATATGGAGATACAAAATATAAAAAATTATCAGTCATAATGAAGAATACAATAACTGAAATGAGAATACATTAGAATGAATCAACAGTAGATTAGATGAAGCAGAAGAACAAATCAGCATTTGGAAAATAAGATAGCAAAAAAAAAAAAGAAAGAAAAAGAAAAAGAACAGCAAAAGAAAAATCAATAAAAAAAAAATGAAGATAATTTAAGGGGCCTCTGGGAGAACAACAAGTGTACCAACATTCACATCATAGGGGTACCAGAAAAAGAAAAGAAAGAACAAAGAATTGAAAACCTATTTGAAGAAATAGTGATGAAAAACTTCCCTAATCTGGTAAAGGAAATACACATATAAGCCCAGGAAACACAGAGTCCCAAACAAAATAAAGTAAAAAAGGCCCATAGCAAGACACATCATAATTAAAATGTCAAAGGTTAAAGACAAAGAATCTTTTAAAAATATTAGTTATTTACTCTTTTCAGTTACACTTGACATTCAATATTAGATTAGTTTCAGGTGTACCACATAGTGGTTAGACATTCAAAGAGAGAACCTTAAAAACAGCAAGAAAAAGCAGTTAGTTATCTACAAGGGAGCTCCCATAAGACTGTCAACTTACTTCTCAACAGAAACTTTGCAGGCCAGAAGGGACTGGAACAAAATATGCAAACTGGTGAAAAGCAATGACCTACAACCAAAATTACTCTATTCAGCAAAGCTATCATTTAGAATCAAAGGACAGAAAAAGAGCTTGTCAGACAAGAAAAAGCTAAAGGAGTTCATCACCACCAAACCAGTATTACAAGAAATGTTAAAGGGACCCCTCTAAGAGGAAGAAGAAGAAAAAAATGAAAGAAAATGTGAATAATAAAATGGCAATAACTACATATCTATCAGTAATCACTTTAAATGTAAACAGATTAAATGCTCTAATCAAAAGACATACATCGGTTGGCTGAATGGATAACAAAACAAGACCCTTATATTGGCTGCCTACAAGACACTCACTTCAGATTGAGAGACACGCAGACTGAAAGTAAAGGGATAGAAAAAGATATTACATGAAAATGAAAAGAAAAAAAAAAAAGCTAGAGTAGCAATACTTATACCAGACAAAATAGACTTTAAAACAAAGGCTATAACAAGAGACAAAGAAGGGCCCAGTAATCCCAGTTCTGGGTATTTATCCAAAGAAACCCAAAACACTACTTAAAAGGGACATGTGCATCCATATGTTCATTGCAGCATTATTTAGGGTAGTCAAGATATGGAGACAAGCTGGGGTGTCTATAAATGGATGAATGGTTAAAGAAGAGGTGGGACATATAACAATGGAATGTTATACTCAGCCATAAAAAAAAAAAAATGAAGTCTGGCCATCTGCAACAACATGGATGGACCTGGAGAGTATTGTGCTGAGTGGAGTAAGTCAGACAGAGAAATACAAATGCCATACGATTTCACTTTTATGTGGAATCTAAGGAAAAAAATAAATGAACTAATAAAACAGAAACAAGCTTATGGATACAGAGAACATTTGATGATTGCCTGGTGGGAAGGGGCTGGGAGAAGAGATGAAAAAGAAGAGATTAAGAAGTACAAATCGTTAGTTACAAAATAGTTATGGGGATGTAAAGTACAGCATAAGGAATATAGTCAATAAGTATAATAACTATATATGGTGTCAGATGGGTACTAGGTTTATTGGGGTGATAACTTGGTAAGTTATATAAATGTCTAATCATTTTGTTCTCCCGAAACTAATGTAATATTGTATGTCAACTTACAACTACCTTATGAGGTATTAGGGGCACAAATTGGCTTCTTCACCCATGATATATCTTCCTTTTTTGACATTTAGGTTACCAATTCAGTCTCCCTATGGAATTGGGTTATCAACCCTCCATCTGCTCTATATGATTCAGGAATTTGTTAGACTTGATCACTATTTACTATGCTCTTCTTCTTCAACTTTTCATAAAAGATAAAAGTATTGACCCAAAAAGAAATGTTTACGGAAAAACCATTTTTTCTGGACTCAGACTTCTGGAATAATAAAATCCCTTTAGAAGGGTGATGTCAGTACAAGAAAAGAAAATTACAAACCAATATCACTGATGAACATAGATGCAAAAATTCTCAACACAATACTAGCAAACCAAATTCAACAGCACATGAAAAGGATCATACACCATGATCAACTCAGATTTCTCCCTGAGATGCATGAATGGTTCAAAATATACAAAACAATATATGTAATATATGATACACCACATTAACAGAAGGGATAAAAATAAATGATCATCTCAACAGATGCAAAAAAGTGTTTAACAAAGTTCAACATCCTTTTATGATAAAGACTCTCAGCAATTCCATAGAGAAGGAATATATCTCAACATAATAAAGGCCATATATGACAAGTCCAAGGCTAACATCATACTCAATGGTGAAATGTTAAAAGCTTTTCCTCTAAGATCAGGAACAATATAAGGATGCCTACTCACCACTTTTATTCAACATAACACTGGAAGTCCTAGCCAGAACAATTAGACAATAAAAATAAACAAAAACCATCCTTACTGGAAAGGAAGAAGTTCAATTGTCTTTATTTGCAAGTGACACACCTTATACATACAAAACCCTAAAAACTCCACCAAAAAACTGTTTAGTGCCAATAAATAAATTCAGTAAAGTAGTAAAATACAATTCAATATGTAAAACTCACTTGTGTTTCTATACTAACAACAAACTATCTGAAAAAAAAATCAGAAACACAATCCCATTTACATTAGCATCAAAAATAATAAAACACTTAGTAATAAATTTGAACAAAGAAGTGAAAGATTTGTACACTAAAAACCACAAAACATGGATTAAAAAAATTGTAGAGAACTAAATGGAAAGATTTCCTATGGTCATGGATTAGAAGAATTAATATTACTAAAGTGTCCACATAACACCAAAAACACAGACAACCAAAGCAAAAATAAACGATGGGTTTACAGCAACATAAAAAGCTTCTACCAGCAAAAGAAACCATCAACAAAATGAAAAGGCAACCTGAACTTGAGAGAACATATTTGCAAACCACATACCTGATAAAAGGTTAATATCCAAAATATATAAGAACTCATACAGCTCAATAGAATAAACAAAATATATTAACAACTCAATTAAAAAATGGGCAAAAAACCTGAATACACATTTTTCCAAAGAAGATATACAAATGGCCGACAGGCATATGAAAAGGTGCTCAACATCAGGGAGATGTAAACCAAAGCCACAATGATCTATCACCTTACACCTGTTAGGGTGGCTATTACCCACCTCTTAAGAAAGACAAGAGATAAGTATTTGTGAGGATATGGGAAAAGGAAATCCTTGTACATTGTTGGTAGGAATGTAAATTTGTACAACCATTATGGAAAACATTATGGAACTTCCTCAAAAAATTAAAAATAGAATTATGAGATGATCCAGCAATTCCACTTCTGGGTATACATCCAAAAAATGAAATCAGCATCTCAAAGAGGTATCTGCACTTCCATGTCATTGGAGCATTATCCACAATAGCCAACATATGGAAACAACCTAAGTGTCCATCAAGGGATGAATAGATAAAAAAAGGAGGTGTACGTACACAATAGAAAATTATTTGGCCAATAAAGAAGGAAATCCTGCCATTTGCATCAACATGGATGAACCTAGAGGATATTATGCTAAGTAAAATAAGCCAGACACAAAAAGACGAATACTGCATAATCTCACTTATATGTGGAATCTGAAAAAGTTGAACTGATAGATAGCAAAGAGTAGAGTGGTGGTTGCCAGAGATTAGAGGGTGGGACAAATGGAGTGATTTTGGTCAAGGGGTTATAAGCTTCTGTTACAAGATGAATAAGTTCTGAGGATCTAATGTACAACATAGATCTATAGTTAACTACAGTTAATAAAACTATATTGTATACTTGAAATTTGCTGAGAGAGCAGGTGTTAAGTACTGTTACCACATCAAAAACAACAAAAAATCTTAACTATGCAAGATAATAGATGTGTTAATTAGCTTGATTATTTTACAATGTATATGTATGTGAAACCATTGTGTTATATACCTTAAATATACATAATTTTTCCTTATTAATTATATCTCAATAAAGCTAGGAAAAATAAAGCTGTTTATTTAAAAAGGAAAAAAAATTCCTTCAGGCACATCTTCTGTCTACATAGCATGTATCTTTTATAAATAGTTTCCAGATTATGGAAATTTTCTCAGACCTTCTCACCAAATTTCTAGAATTTCAACTATATTTCAACAAATATCGTTCCCATCTTCACTACCCTAGCATTAGAACACTGCATATTCAGAATAAGGAAATATTTCTGCAAGAACATACCTACCGTTCAAGGTGGTTTAAGAAAACTAATAGTCAATCCTAGGCAAATTTATGTGAGCTGTGCCTGCTGCAAATCTTGTCCCATGAAATGCAGACACTTATGTAAGTTTTTTATTGATGAAATTCACAGCTCTATTGCTTTTGCTGTGGCTCACAGTGTCTTTACTTCTCAGTCATCCTTCCCTATTATGCAAATTTGTCTCACATTTATCTGTTTTTCATATTTGGACAAATTACCTGGGGGTACGGAAATTTCAATAATGAAGCTTCTGTAAAGAAACAAGATGAAATGCACTAGCAGTGTTTTCCCAACAAATTTTCTGAAATTCACCTTGCCCGCCATGTTGGGCATACCTGTGACCTCTGGGTGCTTCAGCAGGAGCAGGAGAGCATATCTCAGGGTGGTGCTCGTTGTCTCTGTCCCAGCTCCAAACAAATCAGTTACAGTGGTTATCAAGTTTTCAAACGTAAACTCCAACTGTGGGTTGTGCTTTTCCTAGGAATAATTTGATGTAATTATTTGATAATTTGCCAGCATACGTAATTAGAATAAATCCAAAATCACTCACATTGTTATAAAGTCAAGCAAACTTAGAAACTGGAGAGTGTAGTATTAAGACAACAACAACAACTGTATGGTATGGCAAAGTGTGTGTATTAGTTGACCAATCTTCATTTCCTACCCCCTTATATCTTGCTTGCCTAAAAATTCCATTTCCCAACCTCTTTTGCAGAGACAGTGGCCAAGCCACACATCGCTCACCAATGGCTTGCTGGTGCCACTTTCTCTCTTTCCTTCTTCTTACTCAAAACACAGATATGAAGGTAGAGGTCGTACAGACATCACCTCTAAACATGAGTGTTTAAGCATTAAGATGAAGCCTATATGCTATGTATGCTATAAAAAAAAAGAAAGAAAGAAAAAGAAAAAGGAAGGCGCCTGAGTCCATGATTCCTCAGAGCTACTGTACTAACTTAGACCCCCCAACATGAGATTTTAGGATAAATAAACCCACTATTTCTTTAAACTATTGTTAATTGGGTTTTCTCTGGTTGGTAGGTAAACACAGTCTTTATTGATAGAAATGGGTAAATTAGAGCCATATCTTGAAAGATGTTTATAAGCCAGGATCAAATGTTTGTAATTCTCTTCTTTTGTTAAAGAATTTATGTACTCTATATGCCTAAAGACTATTATGAAATTGAAAATGGGCAAAAGTCAATATGGCAGCACATACTAGAATATATTATAGAAAAAGAGTGGATTCACAAAGTCAGTGGGGCCCACCACTCTAGCAGTCCTCCCTTACCTGCAGATCTGCAGGGGATACATTCCAAATCCCCAGTGGATGCCTGAAACAATGTATAGTATGGACATATCTATATATATCTATATATCTATATATATATACATATGTATGTATATGTGTATATGTATATTTTTTCTGTTCATATCTTTCACTCACAAATTTAATGCCTTTTCCATCTTAACTAAGCACTTATAATGCACTGTGGCCATAACTTTTGCAATTTTTGGTGCAAAAGCCAAACGAGCACAAATTTCTTTTTTTCTTCTTCACAATTTCAAGACTAGAAGGAAGATTCATTCTTACTACAGATCTGCTTTAGTAACCTCAGCATACATTTTTTTCCTTTCCTTATTAAGTAGACAACTTTCAACTTTTCATTTAAAGGAAGCACTTTATAGCTTCTGTTTAGCATATTGCCAGCATCACCACTCTTGCACTTTGGGGCCATTTTTAAGTAAATTAAGGGTTATTTAAGCACGGGCACTGTGACACCAAGACAGTTGACCTGATAACCAAGTCAGTTATTAAGTGATAACCTGTGGGTAGCGTATTGCCAGACAAAGGTATGATTTACAACTTGAGCAGGATAAAATGGGAAGGAGCTGGACAGCGTGAGACTGCATCATGCTACTCAAACTGGTGTGCAACTTAAAACTCATGAATTGTTTATTTCTGGAATTTTTCATTTAATATTTTCAGACCACAACTGATTGTGGGTAACTAAAAAAGCAAAACTGGATAAGGGGAGACTACGGTATTGCTTTCCAGATGTGAGGCAATAGGCAACTTGGTCCAGGAATGAGTGTAGGAATTAATAAAAAAATACAAACAGAAGAAACAATAAATACGAAGATAAAGAATTTGGGCATTCACTGTCCATAGGGGATGAAGGAGAGAATAAGGGTAGTGCAGATGCTGAGGGTAAGGGACTGACTGAAGAGAGCTCTCATCAATTGGAAGTTGGGAGACTAAAAGCACTTCAGAAGGACAACAAAGGATGATTACAGATGAGATCTTTTTGTGTTCTATGTGATGCAAGAAATGACAATAACAGTGAGAAAGTTTGAAATATTGATGATGGAGGTCATTAACATGAGGAAAATAATAACTTTTTCCTATCCAGTCCTATAGATGAGCATTTATTTAATAAGATTCTTATCCTCTCCAAGTGACCTGTGGCATACTTAATATTATGCAATCAACTCCATTAAGACAAACTAACCCTTTTAACAGTTGTACATGTTAGAAAAAGGTAATTATCCCTATTGGTAACATCAAGTTCATACAGTTTTCATACAAGCTTCATAAGCTTGTCAACTCAAAATTACTCTAAGGCCAAGAAGGAGAGTAGAGCACTTATAAACCATTATTAGAATTTCTGCCTGTTCAAGTGAATTCGAAGAATTAGCATTTATGCACACATAGCCAATCAAAAATTAAGCTAGCCTACACAAAACATTGTTGAAAAGAATTCAAGAAGACCTAAGTAAACGGAAAGACATCTCACATTCATTTCTTGAAAGACTTAAAATTGTTAAGATGGCATCACTCCCCAAACTGACCTATAGATCAACATGATCCAAATCAAAATGTCTGCTAGCTTCTTCACAGAAGTTGACAAGGCAATCCTAAAATTCATGTGGAAATTTAAGTGACCAAAAACAGATAAAAGAGGAACAAAAAAGAACAAAAGTGGAGGACTCATACTTCCTGATATCAAAACTTACAACACAGGGCCGGCCGAGTGGCGCGATGGTTAAGAACTGGCTTGGGACGCCAGAGAGCCCCGGTACGGGTCCCACATATGAGGGCCAGTGACACTGCCCTCCACAGCTAAGATGCTGAACAACAGCTCAACCTGGAGCTGGGCTGCTGTGAGTCCCCGGTGAC